CTTCTTCTTCTTCTTCTTCTTCTTCAGATTGGAGACTATCCAGTTGGACAGAGATCAGAGTTGGACTTCGGGGATACGAGACTGTGGTACTTACCGGATTGGAGACTTGGAGATTGTTGAGGTTGATACTCGGCTGCATCACAGTTGGACACCGGTTACATCTGGACTCGGTTATCTCCGACATTGGTGACCTTTGGTCCTCGACAATCTGATCTTGTTATAGGACATTCTGGACTACCATTTCGGAGACCTACCGGACTCTATCTTGTGACCTATCGGTGTGATCTACCTCCTACCTCCTTCGTCTCTCCTCCCACCTTTCATCTGTGTATGTGTGTACGGGATCTGGGTATCGCCTATGCATGACCCAGACACCACCATCTCATGATTGTATGTGTGTGGAGTGATGCCATGTAGGTCAGTCTATGTAAGTCAGTCTATGTGAGTCAGTTCGTTATCAGACTTCCGCTGCATAAATGCTCATCCTATATTGGTTGATCTTTGGTTCTGCCCATACTCATTGAAGTATGTAACAGTTTTGGTRTCGGAGCAGACCAAAACGGATCTGCTCACCAGGTAAGACTGTTTAGAATTAGGTTATCACGTTTGATCTTCTAAATCGGCGCTGAAGTATTATCAAGTTCAAAGTTACAAATTTTCTTTTTTTCTCGGTATTCCCGCTATTTCGGCATTCCCGTTTCAATTCAGTATTCGGACTTTTATTCGGATTTCTGTTGTACACGGTATGCTGTTTAAGGAGATCCGAGAGATTGATACTAATCCAACATTCTGTTTGATTTGGATTTCTGGGTAGGTATTCGTAATTAGGGTTGAATCAGTATCATGTTTGAAATTCGGGTTTTCTGATGTTCATTCAGCATTCCGTTTTTCGGCATTCTGTTGTAAATCCTACATTTCGTTTTCTGTTGAGATTTCCATTGTCTTTCAGTATGGGAATTAGGGTTATGAAAATCTTTTGGTTTTAGATCAACTTGGGGAAACCCGAACGTTTTGGCACCGTAACTCCGAAAATTTCGCCGAAACGCGAAAATTAGGGTTGGGACCGAAATTTTCGCGAAAATTTTTTTTCGTTCTCCTTGTTCGAGAAATTCCGAAAATAGGTTTAGGCTTTTAAAAATCGGATTTTGACGGCGGGAATTCTCAAAAATTCGCATTTTTGAAATTTCTGAAAATTTCGGAAAAAGTTTTTAAGCACACTAAGCCGTATCTGACCTTAAAATTGCAACTACCGGGCAGTTCACTTATTAAACGGTGAACTCCCGGTCTCATGTTGATCTCAAAGAGACCTAATCATAATATCTTTCAAATTCGTATCATTAATTGGTTATCAAACATTGTTTTAATGATTATCATTAAATGGTTATCTTTATTACAAACATTGTTTACTGATTATTATTCGTATTTATTTCGTTAATTATCATTAATTAATTTTATTGATTAAATCGTTATAAATTCCTTATTACGAATTTTTTGAAGGGTTTACGGGAAAATTAATTTTTCCGTTTGATTAGGTGTCTACAGTCCATCAGTGGGACAGGGGATTGTATGTATATTGCTTGATTGTTCTACCCMTGTTCCCACTCTCCCTACCCCCCGTGTTCTGTGATTACCGGGACTTCTCAAGTACCGCATCGGTTCAGACTGATGTCGACGGGACAAGACACCGGGGCACTGCCACAACGCAGTGCCAGAATCGCAGTTCGTGCCCGCTCTGCAGTACCTCCAAGACCGAAGAAACTCAGCAGGAGGACGACTCCAGCAGCATCAAGTACGGCATTGACGGTACAAGACGCCACTGGAGATCATCCCGCATACCCAGTCCGAGGAGCCAATGAGCCCGCGGCTGATTATCGTGGGCGGCTACTGGCATTTTCAGAAGCCGTAGCTGCCGTCGAGGCCCGGAAGGAGACAGCAGAGGCAGAACGTCAGCGGCTAGCCAATGAACCGGCAGTCGAGGCTCAGCGAACGACTGAGACTGACGCAGCGACACGAGACAGACGGAATGCCAGCAACACGGAGTCCTTGATTGCTTGTGARCATCAGTGGACGACGATACTCCAAGACATGATCTTTGTGCCTACAGAAGCGCAGGCAGATCCGACACTGACGGAGGCAGAGGGAAGTAACCTGGCTAACTTGCTGTTGGGCATGATGAGAGGTATTATGTGGAATAATACACTGCTGCAGTCACATTTGCGCACGGACGCGACGCAGCGACAAACATACAAGAATGATATCACTACGTTAACAACTGCTATCCGCACAGAGGCAATACAGCAGCAACAACAGCATCAACTATTGAATTCCACTGTCACACGCGTCAACAGCATAGAGGCTAACGCCTTAGCAGCGCCAGGCTGCACGACAGACGTGACGAAGCAACTCAACGAGCGCATCGATCACGTCGTCACCATCATCGGCRACATAAGTACTTTCAACGGACCAGACTCGATCAGCAGCACGGTGGCCGCCATCAAGACGGACATCACCAAGCTACAGACGAGACCGGAAGCCGCTACAAAGACGTTCAAGATGCCGCACTTCGACATCAGGAAGTTCGACAATTACAACAAGTCGGACGCCTTGCCATGGTGGCAACGCTTCCTCACAGAAGCATCATGCCGCATGGTCCCAGCGGACGACATGTTGAAGGCACTATATCTGCAGCTGATTGGAGGAGCGCAGGGATGGATGAAGCACCTATCGGCTACACACAAGTGCACTATCGCCGAAATCCACACGCACATTACGTGGAAGGAGTTCGAGCAGCTATGGTTCACCCGGTTCATGGTCCGCAACGTCGTGAAGGCGGCCATGAATGAGGTGTACACATGCTCTCAAGGGAACATGCCAACTCGAGACTGGACAACGAAGTGGCAAAAGATAGTGACCACA